AAGATAGCTTACCCTGCTTTAGGTATTATAGCTGAGTTCAGTTCAGTTCAGTTGGTAGCACTCTCATGTCTGAGTTAGAAGTTTTGGGATCAAGTCCTATATTCGGCCTTAGTCTCGGCTGGCACTTCCAATGGAGTGCTGGATGAGTGCTGCATTATCAGAGGCGCCATTCTTCAGATGAGATGTTCAACTGAGGCATCTCATCTGTCCAGTCAAGTGGACATTGAAGATTCCTTGGCACTATTTGAAAACCGAAGGAAAATTCTCCTGGTGTCCTAGCCAACAATCCACCAGATAAAATTGGTCATTCACTTCATGGCTGTTTGTACGATGTTGCTGCGTACAAATCAGTAGGGTCTTTAATTATAATATAATAGATTAATATTATGAATAATATTATAGATTAGATTATGTAACAACTAAACAAAGATTATTTGTCTCTGAGTTACTGTTGGTAAGTTTCATTGCTGCCTGGTACTTTTTCTGCTTTATCCTCTTTAAAAAAAAAACTTTTTTGTTTGCAAAGAACTAATTAGCCTTTTGACAAGATAAAGTATAACCTCAGAAATATAATAGTTTCTTCCATCTGAAAAATGCTCTAGAGCTATCACCTAAAAATGAACTTTGTAAATATAATTATGATTATCACAACCATATTTTAGTTCTCACAGTGAGATGGAACAGAAACAGAGGTTGCGGACTTGAAAGTGTATTTTTATTCCTTTATGTAGGAAAGTATTAGCTGTGCAGTTCAGGGAAAGAATCCACACTATGTTTTATTTTGCTCTCAGTGAGATTCCTTGTGGCTGTAATCATCGGGAAGGGTTTTATTTTCCAGCTACAATTTTCTCTAATTTATGGAGTGTTATCCTACCAAATGACACGGTTTATTCATATTTACATTCGAGATCCGCTGTAAAGAAGCCTGAGCGTGCCACTGGTGCTGTGGAAACACGCATTCAACATTGACATGTTTTTATTGCAGAAAAGAACTTTTAAAGGCTTCAAAAAGCTTCATAATATGTTCATCTGTTGCTTGTGTTTCTTTCGTCCAGCATCCAACGTCCAATATCAGAGTCATACAAGAGCATTCAATAACCCTTTGCTATGCTTGGCCTTTCATTACTGAGCCTATGTTGGCTTTTCCTTTATCCAGTCCTCAGTGTTATATTCCAGCATGATCCAAAGTGGAATGTTCATGACTACCATATTAACACATGGTTAGGATAAATATAGGGTTTAGATTGGCTTGCAAACAACCATTTCTTTTTGGCAAGTGCTTTTGGATTCTATAACAGATTCCGACTAATTAAGGAATCAACTTAAAAGAACACAGCAGTAAAAGTAACATTCTGAGGACATATTCCAAATTCCTAACAGAATACAAATGCCTAAAGTGAACACAAAACGGACTCATGCAAATATTTTTCATGTTACACTGCATTCCTGTGTGGAACGGAATCCTGGTGTTCACGGCACTTTTTGTGGCTTTTGAGGTGAAATTTAAAGAAGCAAATGGGACTCATTATTTCTGCGATGAGGAACTAACAGACAGTAATTTTGTGGTCAATTTGCACAGCTAATTGCTCTCCAAGATACAATGCTCTGGGGCATTCTCCCCACGTGAAAGGCGCAATATAAATGCAATTTGTTGTTGTTGCATAGACATGTTCTTCCTCTCTTGAGGCAGTTTCTGTTTGTCACCCAGAACTAACCTGGATGACAATGTGGAAAATATTCCCACACCTGCTGATCCTCCAGATAACACAACTATTCAGAAGGCAAAGAAAGAGCTAAAATACATAACACAGCTACATAGAAGGAAATAAATGGGAGAGAATGTTTTTTTAAACAGAGGGTTGTTAGATTTGGGAATCATTTGTCACAAATAGTGTTGGAAGGTGAAAAACATACATAGCTTCCCTACTAATAATGTTTAAAATGGTATAAATTTTTGAAAACAAGTGTCTACAAGAGACTGTAAAAGCCCATATCCAGGCAATTTGATATATTTCTGTACTCTGACCTTCAATAACCTCAGCATCATGCATGCATATAATTGGAAAAGCATCTTTGAGTGTTTTTTTCCATTGTTATGCAAAAGGGAATCTATTTTGACGAGGCCAGAGAGCACACCAGCATTTCAGCAGACTGCCCCCATATTTCACTTCTGGAAATAAATATTTGCAGACTGACCACAAAGCAGGAGGTTTAAAGTTGTGACCTAAATTGAGCTAGCAATATGGCACTAGCACTTTCATAACACAATTGAACTACGTGCATTGCTAGCAGTTGTGAAGCCACCTTACGTAACTGTATTTGACAGGAATTTCATGCCCGCTTGATAAAATTTATGGAATCTAGGTATCATTTCCTTTTTCTCCAAAATGGTTTAGCTTGTTATTGATTGTGAGCTCCTTGAGTGAACTGCTGCACATATGACACAGCATCTGGTGGGCAGCTGTTTTAATAGTGCATTCATTCTTCTGACAAAAAAAGA